ATACCCCAGTCCAAAGACATATCTAAGCCCTCCCCCTGCCTGTCCAAAGTAGAGTGCACACATGCAGTAGCATAAGAGTAAAAGAAGTAGGTATGGAAGCTTGTGTGATACACAAACTAGAATTAATTATATATCTGCCTCCTCTTATTTAGGGTGTCGCGACCCACTTTTGGGTCGCGACCCACGAGTTGAGAACCACTGCTTTAAAACATTACATTATACAAGTGTCTCTTGTAGGAAGTTTTTTAGAGGTTGTCCATAAATCATGTCACATTTCGAGGTGTGTCTGAAAGATGTGGGATGGGGTGTTGAGACTGTTCCTAAGATGTGAGACAAGGAGGATGGTTAAATTATCATGATAACACTGCAAATTTATTTAGTATGCATTAAGGTAAATAATGCCTAGTCCTTGGTACTACTTTAATGGATGTAACATTAGTAAGTAGGTCAGACAGGGAGTCTGGGACTTCCGTGTCCTCCCAGTACATGTAATTATGTCGCAGCTTGCTTGTGAACTACAGGGAACGCAGACATAGTGACCACCGGTCTTACAAAATTAAAATAAATGGGAATGAGCCCTTATGCAGGATTTAACTTGGCATTTCTCTGTGGGTGGATGACTGCATTTAAAGACATATTTACACTGATCAGCCATAACATTATGACCACTGAGTGTATTAGAGTGTATTACTCTATTAGGCAAATCAGGCGGTCGCCTAAGGCCTCGCCCTCACGGGGGCCTCGCAACTGCCTAGCTCGCCTGTGGCGGAACCCATCGCCATAGCAACCCAGGTGGCCGCTATGGGGCACAGGGGAACAAAGGGGTCCCCCTGATGCCGTGCGGGCCGCCTGGGTTGCTTTGGCGGGGGGAGCGGAAAAATGCGGTGGTGGACTGGGGGGGGACTTTAAACGGCCGCCACACTCCGCGCGTCAATACTGACCACCGACACTCCGCGCGCCACTACTGACCTCCGCACTTAAGGAGTTGTGAGTTCCTGGATGTTGGGATTAAAGGTTAGTC